AGAGTACTTGATACTGTGTTAGAGTACTTGATACTGTGTTAGAGTACTTGATACTGTGTTAGAGTACTTGATACTGTGTTAGAGTACTTGATACTGTGTTAGAGTACTTGATACTGTGTTAGAGTACTTGCTACTGTGTTAGAGTACTTGATACTGTGTTAGAGTATTTGATACTGTGTTAGAGTACTTGATACTGTGTTAGAGTATTTGATACTGTGTTAGAGTACTTGATACTGTGTTAGAGTACTTGATACTGTGTTAGAGTACTTGCTACTGTGTTAGAGTACTTGCTACTGTGTTAGAGTACTTGATACTGTGTTAGAGTACTTGCTACTGTGTTAGAGTATTTGATACTGTGTTAGAGTATTTGATACTGTGTTAGAGTACTTGATACTGTGTTAGAGTACTTGATACTGTGTTAGAGTACTTGATACTGTGTTAGAGTACTTGATACTGTGTTAGAGTACTTGATACTGTGTTAGAGTACTTGCTACTGTGTTAGAGTACTTGCTACTGTGTTAGAGTACTTGCTACTGTGTTAGAGTACTTGATACTGTGTTAGAGTACTTGATACTGTGTTAGAGTTACTGATACTGTGTTAGAGTACTTGATACTGTGTTAGAGTATTTTGCTACTGTGTTAGAGTACTTGATACTGTGTTAGAGTACTTGATACTGTGTTAGAGTATTTGCTACTGTGTTAGAGTACTTGATACTGTGTTAGAGTACTTGATACTGTGTTAGAGTACTTGATACTGTGTTAGAGTATTTGCTACTGTGTTAGAGTACTTGATACTGTGTTAGAGTACTTGATACTGTGTTAGAGTACTTGATACTGTGTTAGAGTACTTGCTACTGTGTTAGAGTACTTGATACTGTGTTAGAGTACTTGATATGTGTTAGAGTACTTGATACTGTGTTAGAGTACTTGCTACTGTGTTAGAGTACTTGATACTGTGTTAGAGTACTTGATACTGTGTTAGAGTACTTGATACTGTGTTAGAGTACTTGATACTGTGTTAGAGTACTTGATACTGTGTTAGAGTACTTGATACTGTGTTAGAGTACTTGACTACTGTGTTAGAGTACTTGCTACTGTGTTAGAGTACTTGCTACTGTGTTAGAGTACTTGCTACTGTGTTAGAGTACTTGCTACTGTGTTAGAGTACTTGATACTGTGTTAGAGTACTTGCTACTGTGTTAGAGTACTTTGCTACTGTGTTAGAGTACTTGATACTGTGTTAGAGTACTTGATACTGTGTTAGAGTACTTGATACTGTGTTAGAGTACTTGATACTGTGTTAGAGTACTTGATACTGTGTTAGAGTACTTGATACTGTGTTAGAGTAACTTGATACTGTGTTAGAGTACTTGATTACTGTGTTAGAGTACTTGATACTGTGTTAGAGTACTTGATACTGTGTTAGAGTACTTGATACTGTGTTAGAGTACTTGCTACTGTGTTAGAGTACTTGCTACTGTGTTAGAGTACTTGCTACTGTGTTAGAGTACTTGCTACTGTGTTAGAGTACTTGCTACTGGTTAGAGTACTTGCTACTGTGTTAGAGTACTTGCTACTGTGTTAGAGTACTTGATACTGTGTTAGAGTACTTGATACTGTGTTAGAGTACTTGATACTGTGTTAGAGTACTTGATACTGTGTTAGAGTATTTGATACTGTGTTAGAGTACTTGATACTGTGTTAGAGTACTTGCTACTGTGTTAGAGTACTTGCTACTGTGTTAGAGGTACTTGCTACTGTGTTAGAGTACTTGCTACTGTGTTAGAGTACTTGATACTGTGTATAGGTACTTGATACTGTGTTAGAGTACTTGTTTCTGTGTTAGAGTACTTGATACTGTGTTAGAGTACTTGATACTGTGTTAGAGTATTGCTACTGTGTTAGAGTACTTGCTACTGTGTTAGAGTACTTGATACTGTGTTAGAGTACTTGATACTGTGTTAGAGTACTTGATACTGTGTTAGAGTACTTGATACTGTGTTTAGAGTACTTGATACTGTGTTAGAGTACTTGATACTGTGTTAGAGTACTTGATACTGTGTTAGAGTAACTTGATACTGTGTTAGAGTACTTGATACTGTGTTAGAGTACTTGATACTGTGTTAAGTTACTTGATACTGTGTTAGAGTACTTGATACTGTGTTAGAGTACTTGATACTGTGTTAGAGTACTTGATACTGTGTTAGAGTACTTGATACTGTGTTAGAGTACTTGATACTGTGTTAGAGTACTTGATACTGTGTTAGAGTACTTGATACTGTGTTAGAGTACTTGCTACTGTGTTAGAGTACTTGATACTGTGTTAGAGTACTTGCTACTGTGTTAGAGTACTTGCTACTGTGTTAGAGTACTTGATACTGTGTTAGAGTACTTGATACTGTGTTAGAGTACTTGATACTGTGTTAGAGTACTTGATACTGTGTTAGAGTACTTGATTACTGTGTTAGAGTACTTGATACTGTGTTAGAGTACTTGATACTGTGTTAGAGTACTTGATACTGTGTTAGAGTACTTGATACTGTGTTAGAGTACTTGATACTGTGTTAGAGTACTTAGCAGCGTGTTAGAGTGCTTAACAGTGTTAGAGTACTTGATACTGTGATAGAGTACTTGATACTGTGTTAGAGTACTTGATACTGTGTTAGAGTACTTGATACTGTGATAGAGTACTTAGCAACGTGTTAGAGTACTTGATACTTTGTTAGAGTACTTAGCAGCGTGTTAGAGTAATTGATACTGTGTTAGAGTACTTGATACTGTGTTAGAGTACTTGATACTGTGTTAGAGTACTTGATACTGTGTTAGAGTACTTGATACTGTGTTAGAGTACTTGATACTGTGTTAGAGTACTTGATACTGTGTTAGAGTACTTAATACTGTGTTAGAGTACTTGATACTGTGTTAGAGTATTTAGCAGCGTGTTAGAGTGCTTAACAGTGTTAGAGTACTTGATACTGTGTTAGAGTACTTGATACTGTGTTAGAGTACTTAGCAGCGTGTTAGAGTGCTTAACAGTGTTAGAGTACTTGATACTGTGTTAGAGTACTTAGCAGCGTGTTAGAGTGCTTAACAGTGTTAGAGTACTTGATACTGTGATAGAGTACTTAGCAACGTGTTAGAGTACTTAACAGTGTTAGAGTACTTGATACTGTGATAGAGTACTTAGCAACATGTTAGAGTACTTAGCAACGTGTTAGAGTACTTGATACTGTGTTAGAGTACTTAGCAACGTGTTAGAGTACTTAACAGTGCTAGAGTACTTGATACTGTGTTAGAGTACTTAGCAGCGTGTTAGAGTACTTAACAGTGTTAGAGTACTTGCATAGTGTTAGAGTACAAAACAAAGTGTTAGAGAACTTGTCACAGTGTTACAGAACTTATCACAGTGTTAGAAAACTTATTACAGAGTTAGAGTACTTAAAACAATGTTAGAGTACTTATTACTGTATTAGAGTGCCTATCACAGTACTCTAACATAAGTTTAGAGTACTTTACACAGTGTTAGACAACTTAACACAGTGTTAGACAACTTAACACAGTCTTAGAGTACTTATCGACACTGTTAGAGTACTTAATGCTGTTATAATGCTTTGCAAAGTGTTATAGTACTTACCACTGCGTTAGAGTTCTTTTTACACAGTGTTAGAGTGCCTATGAAAGTATTAGAGTACTTAACACAGTGTTAAGGTTCATCAAAACGTGTTACAGTAAGTTAGGCAGTGTTAAAATGCACAATACGGTGTTAGAGTACAAAACATAGTGTTATAGTATATTACACAGCGTTAGAGTACACAGCACAGTGTTACAGTACACAGCGCAGTGTAAGAGTACACAGCACAGTGTAAAAGTACACAACACAGTGTAGGAGTACACAACACAGTGTTAGAGTACACCAGTACAGTGTTTAGAGTACACAGTGCAGTGTTAGAGTAATACAGCACAGTATTAGAGTACACAGCACAGTGTAAGCGTACACAGCACAGTGTTAGAGTACATAGCACAGTGTTAGAGTACACAGCACAGTGTAAGCGTACACATCACAATGTAGGAGTACACAGCACAGTGTTAGAGTACGCAACACATCATCTAACATTGTTTTGTGTACCCTAACACTGTGTTGTGTAGTCTAACACTGTGTTGTGTACTCTAACACTGTGTTGTGCACTCTTAACACTGTGTTGTGTACTCTAATGCTGTGTAATATACTATAACATTGTGTTGTGCACTCTAACACTGTGTTGTGTACTTTAACACTGTGTTGTGCACTCTAACACTGTGTTGTGTACTCTAACGCTGTATAATATACTATAACACTATGTAATGTAACACTTGTGTGCTCTAACAACGTCATATATACCCTAACACGAAGATGTGTACTCTAACACTGTGTTGTGTACTCTAACAACGGGATATATACCCTAACACGAAGATGTGTACTCTTACACTGTTCATTATTTTAATACTAACATTTACATTATCACTGTGTTGTATATTCTAACACGGGCATGTACTCATACACTATTGCGTACTCTAACACGGGCATGTACTCATACACTATTGCGTACTTTAACACGGGCATGTACTCATACACTATTGCGTACTCTAACATTAGCATGTATTATGTTTTATGTGCTCTAACACTAACACGTCTACTAACACTACCTTGTCTACTCTAACGTTGTGTTATGTACTCTAATAACTGCCATGTACACTAACACTGTGTTGTGTTCTCTAACACTGGCATGTACTCAAACACTGTGCTGTGTACTCTGACACTAGTATGTGCCCAAGCACTCTGTTGTGTACTCTAACACAGGCATGTACTCTAACATCTGCAAATTACTCCTTCTCATTTATATTAGTTAAATGTTTTCCGTACTAAACATTAAACATTAAGCAATTACTTACTGTATTCTCTCTCCCTTTCTCTCTCTTTTCTTTTATCCATTGTTTACTGGTGGTGACGCTGATGGTGGTGACGCTGGTGGTGGTGACGCTGGTGGTGGTGACGCTGGTGGTGGTGATGCTGGTGGTGGTGATGCTGGTGGTGGTGACGCTGCGAATGATGGTGACCTCAACCACTACTACTGATACTAATGCTGCTGGTGCTACTGCTGGTGACACTGCTGGTGACACTGCTGGTGACACTGCTGGTGACACTGCTGGTGACACTGCTGGTGACACTGCTGGTGACACTGCTGGTGACACTGCTGGTGCTACTGCTGGTGACACTGCTGGTGACACTGCTGGTGACACTGCTGGTGACACTGCTGGTGACACTGCTGGTGACACTGCTGGTGCTGTAATTTCTACGACAATCACCGCTGATGATGGTGTTTCTGCTGTGACTAACGACCCCTACTACTGCTGATGCTTCTGCTGTGTTTACGATATCTACCACCACTGGTGATTCCCCCGTGTCTACGACCTTTACCACTGCTGCTGCTGCTGCTGCTGCTGCTGTTCCTCGCTGAGCTCAGCGCTGGGGGCTGGAAACCCCGGGGAACCCCTCAGTCCCATTGTGGGTTCAGTGATCGGTGGGGTGTTGGCTGTGTTGTTGCTGTTGAGCATCGCCCTTGTGGTGGCCAAGTGTAAGGGACGCTCTTCCCACGAGGCCCACAGGTGAGTACTAGACCACTATAGCTGAGTACTAGACCCACCACTTGTGAGTACTAGACCCACCACTTGTGAATACTAGATCCACCACTTGTGAGTACTAGACCCACCGCTTGTGAGTACTAGATCATTTTTGAGTACTAGATTCACCATAGCTGAGTACTAGACCCACCAGAGCTGAGTACTAGATCTACCACCACTTGTGAGTACTAGGCCCACCAAAGGTGAGTACTAGACCACTTTTGAGTACAAGATTCACAACAGCTGAGTATTAGACTCACCACAGCTGAGTATTAACCTAACCATGGATGAGTACTAGACCCACCAGAGCTCAGTACTAGATCCACCATAGGTGAGTACTAGATCCACCACCACTTGCGAGTACTAGATCCACCATAGGTGAGTACTAGATCCATCACAGGTGTGTACTGATCCCGCAGAGGTGTGTACTGATCCCGCAGAGGTGTGTACTGGCCCCACAGGTGTGTACTGGTACACACAGGTGTGTACTGGCCCCACAGGTGTGTACTGGTTCCCAACAGATGTGTGCTGGTTTCCCCTCATATGTGTACTGGTCTACACAGGTGTGTACTGGTCCTCAAGAGGTGAGTCCTGGCTACAAACGGATGTGTAGTAGTTGTGTACTGGTGCACTATCAGGTGTGTACCGGTCCACTAAGAGGTGCGTATATGTCTACTAGCAGGTGAGTATTGGTGCACTAACAGGTGTATATTGGTTCACTAACAGGTGTATATTGGGTCACTAACAGGTGTATATTGGTTCACTAACAGGTGTATATTGGTTCACTAACAGGTGTATATTGGGTCACTAACAGGTGTATATTGGTTCACTAACAGGTGTATAGTGGTTCACTAACACGTGTGTATTGGTCTACAAACAGCTGTGTGTTGTTTCATAAACAGGTGAGTGTTAGATAACCACAACTGTGTACTGGCCAATCCCAGGTGTGTACTGGTCCCTCACAGGTGTGTACTGGTATCCTACTGGTGAGTTTTCCTCCTCTACTGGTGTGTACTGGGATCTGAGTCACCTCAGGGATACAGCGAGTCTGACTGGAAAAATTTTGGGTCTTCATCAGAGGGTACAAGTGATGAGGTGCTGGACTGGGGGCTGGGACAGGTAAGTTACTGAGCTGGGGGCTATGATAGGTAAGTTACTGAGCTGGGGGCTGGTACAGGTAAATTACTGTGCTGGGGTTGGGACAAGCTCGTTATTTGACTGGGGGCTGGGACAGGTAGGTTACTGTGCTGTGGTTGGGACTGGTTAATTACTGTACTGGGGTTGGGACCAGTAAGTTACTGTGCTGGGGCTGGAACTGTTACTAGTTATTTACTGTGCAAGGGGCTGGAATGGTTAGTCTTTGTGTTGGGGCTAGACTGGATAATTACTGTTATGGAAATATTGAGTTTTTTGCCTGGGGGTTGGGACTAACTAGTTATTGTGCAACAGGTTAGGACTAATTACTTATTGTGCTGTAAACAATACATTAATTACCTGCACATAGGAGAGAGGAGCCTACGACGACTTTTCCGTCCGACTTGGATAATTTACAAAGTCACACTAACCAGTGTGACTTTGTAAATGGTTCAAGTCTGACTGAATCGTCGTCGTAAGCTCCTCTCTCTTATGTACGGGATATTTGCGTATTATTCGAGCCGCGGGATTGTGCCTTTTTGTTCATTGTGCAGTACGTAGGTTAGGACTAATTATTGATTGTGTAGTAGATTGGGACTAATTAGTTATTGTGCTGGTGACTGTGACTAATTAGTTATTGTGCTGGTGACTGTGCCTAATTATTTATTGTGCTGGTGACTGTGAGTAATTAGTTATTGTACTGGTAACTGTGACTAATTAGTTATTGTTATGGTGACAGGGACTGTTTACTGTGCTAGGAGCCAGGCTGGTGTGGTACAGTCTACGATCTCAAGAGAATGAGGCAACAAGCGTATTAATTTGATTGCTTGTGCTCAGTTGCAAAATGAACGATATTAAATTAAAATTATTTTAATTATGTTAACTGGTCAATTCGAGTGGATTATTCAACTCAAGGAATGACGGAGGGTAAGTGCTCCGTCTGTTAATCAATAAAATGACACACTACTTTCGCAACCAAGTTGAGGTTTTAAAGATATTGAAGGTGCGCTCCTTTTTGTGTATCCCGATACCTATTAAGGATGAAAATATTGGATTCAATATTTTAATATGCCTTGTATAGCATTAAAAATAGGTTAGACAAGTTCAAGAGTGGGTGTGCAAGGATGTGACTTAGACATTGTGAATTCTGTTTTCTCGCTATAATGGTTCATGGATCTTGTCGTTGTTTTGCTCTGCGACTTGGCGTAGTCCTGTGGTCACGCTCGTGGCACGTGTCAAGAAGGCTGTTGATTCTTTACTCGGAAAGAGGATCGAGTCTCCAATGGTTTAAACAATTTCATACTGCTTATATATATATATATAATATATATATATATATATTATATATATATATATATATATATATATATATTATATATATATATATGTTGACGGCAGTGAAGGGACTTGAGCTAGAGTTCGTCACGGCCACGCTAGCTGGAGATTCGTCTGTAAAAACTTGCATTTGTGGTCACAGTGGTGCCTGTGCTAACCTTCCTATGGTGTAGAAATATACCTAGTTGGATGAATCTTATTGTGGCTAGCTGGTCTAGTGCCTAACGCGACGGGCTGGAGTTTTGAGACTCTATGACCGCGGGTTCAATCCCGGCCGGGGGTATGGTTTGTTTGCAATCGTGTCATTACGATTTCTTGAGTCATTATATAATAATATATATATATATATATATATATATATATATATATATATATTATATATATATATATATAATATATATATATATATATATATGTCGTGCCGAATAGGCAAAACTGGTCAATTAGCAAGAACTCATTTAAAATTAAGTCTTTTCTAAAATTTTCTCTTATACGTTTAAAGATATATTTTTTTCATTAATGCTAATGTAAAAATTTATAATTTTGCATCAAAAGAATTTTAGAAAACTTACCTAACCTTATTATAACAAGAACAATTTATTTTAGCCTAACCCAACTAAATATATTTTAAATTTGTTTACAATAATTTAATACTAAACAAACACAGTGAAATATATATTTTTTCGTTAGGTTCAGAATGATTTTAGCGAAATTATTGCATACATAAATTTTCGCTTGTCCTATATGGCAAGATGAACGTTGCTATTTAAGCCAAGATCGCAAGTTCTGCCTATTCGGCACGACATATATTTATAATATATATATATATATATATATATATATATATATATATATATATATATATATATATATATAAATATATACATATATATATATATATATATATATATATATATATATATTATATATATATATATATATATAATATATATATATATATATATATATATATATAGGTATAAACTTGCTTCAGGGAAAACTCAAGGTTGTCCCTGAAGCTGTTTGAAATTTTTTTCCTAAAGCCCCCTATATATTCTATATATGCTTTATGTAAAGACAAAATACATTGACAAATACATTGACAAAAACACAATAGAGAGTAAAACAACACAGATAACTCAGAGCTACATCTCGAATACTTCGTCCAGCTCCCCGGCGGTGGGCCGTGTGCCCAGAATGCTGCAGGCATTTCTCCTCTGGATCGCAACACAGAGTCTCTGAAAGAGAAAGCTGGCCGCCCTGTGGTCCTTGGTTTCTATGATGAATTTTTCACCAAGCTCTTTGAGGAACTTTAGAGCACACTTACTCCATGCCCCAAGGGTCTCTGACCCTATTGGGATGAAGTTATAGAAAGGGGGAAGGTCTTCATATTTGCGGGTCTTCTGGGTTTCCCTGTGGCTGGCAGCTCCACCCCCATCAGCTACGGAGTATGGCAAGTAGGTGTCTGCCAAATGTGGTGGTAAGGTGTAGTCCAGATAATTGTTTTCCCATCTTCCAGGGTAGCATAGTGGCTCCATCAGGACGCTTTTGCCCTCCCCAGACCTCTGATTTGGGGGTTTTTCCCCGTTGAGTGGGCAAAGGGTGTGGCGGGGTTCTCTTAAAAGAAAAATAAGATAAGTTTTCGTTCGGATTTTTAAACCCCGGGGGGTTACCCCCCAGGATAACAAAAAGAAAATAGTACGTCACGAAAAATGTCAACTTATTTCCAGTGGGGGTCCTCAATATTTTCCCCCAGGATGCGACCCACCCCAGGGAAAGGACAACAGGTGTAAGGAAACGCGCGAAATTTTTCACCCCCGGGAAATCGCCCCCCCCCCCCGGGCCCCTAGCGTGAAAAAGCTAGAGTTTTGGCCGCCAGGTCGTTGCCCCTCCTCGTGTTGGCATATTTCCCCTTTGATGGTGACGCACGAGACCATGAAATCCGAATTGATCAGCCGTCGCCCCGCCCCAAAAAACACCTATGCTCGGTGGGAGAGGGCGGCTAGGCGAAAAGGCAACACCAATCCCAAAGGTCTGTGGGTGAGTCGAGTGCCCCGGAAGGAATTGGGGAAAAGCTAGAAGGAAATCTCCCGAGGTGGGCCTTCACCGCCAGGAGCAAAAACTCCGTCCTTTCCTGAAGCGTTGATGAGCATTGTGTTGGCGACTTTTTCCCTGATCGGTTTGTACCAGTGGGGTGTTTTTTTTCTTTGGGAGGAGCGGTCTATGGAGGGTTGCAAGGGGTTCCACCAAAATTTCTTCTTCAGTAAACCTGGGGTTTGAGCTCCCACCCCGTCTTTCAAAAGTTCGGGGACGATCTTCTTGACTAAAGCACCGGAAACCAAAAACCCAAGAAGGAAAGCAGGTAAAGAAATTTTCATTGCTTTGCGCCCCCTATCCCCAGTCGCACTGGGAGGGTTGCCTGATCCCATTTCTGATCCTTGTGACAGGTTCAGTGCCCTTTTTAAAGGTTGATCTAGGTGTTTTCATCATATCGTCGGTGTTGGGTTGTCAAAAGG